CAAAAGATACAGTGACCAGAATACAAAGACAGTCTACAGAATGGGAAAGGGTATTTACCCAATATTCATCTGATAAGGGGTTGATATCAAGGATTTACAAGGCACTGGTTGAACTCCACAAGAAGAAAACATCCAACCCCATTAGAAAATGGGGCGATGAAATGAACAGAAACTTTCTCAAAGAAGAAATCCGAAAGGCTAAGCATGAAAAAATGCTCCTCATCACTAATACTCAGGGAGATGCAGATCAAAATAACAATGAGATCTCATTTCACACCACAGAGAATGGCCCACATCCAAAAGAACAGAAGTAACTGGTATAGACGTGGATGTGGGGAGAAAGGGACTCTCCTTCACTGCTGGTGGGAATGCCAACTGGTTCAGCCCTTTTGGAAAACAGTATGGACGCTTCTCAAAAATTTGAAACTGAGTTTCCACTTGACCCAGCAATACCACTTCTGGGAATATATCCCAGAGATGCAAAAAAAGTATAGTTGAAAAGACATCTACACTTATATGTTCATTGCAGCACTGTTTACAATAGCCAAAACCTGGAAAAAAACCCGAGTGCCTGATGACTGGTTAAAGAAACTTTGGTACATCTAAACAATGGAACAGTTAGTGGCTGTTAAAAGAGATGAAGTCATAAAATTTGCATACAGTGTATCAACATGTAAAGAATCATGTTAAGTGAATGAGTCAGAAAGAGTGGGACAGACATAGAAAGATTGCACTCATTTGTGGAATATAAAGTAACAGAATGGGAGACTAGTAGTAGAATAGTAGAGATAAGTACCAGAAGGATTACTCCACAGCTTAGAAGCCGTCCTCACATGCTGGGGGTAAAGGCAGCTCAGACAGAGAAGGGAACACTAAGTAAATGGTGCTAGGAGGGCCTGCTCGGGATGGGAGATGAGGATTGAATGTAGATTATAGACCAAATATGATGGCCACACCTCTATTGCAAACCACAACACCCCAAAGGATAGAGAGAATAAAAGTGAATGCCCTGCCACAGAGGCGGGGTGGGGTGGAGGGAACTGGGTGGGGGTGCTGGGAGAGATGTCGGGACTATTTGTGGAGGAAAATGAGCATTGGTGGAGGGACGGGTACTCAATGGGTATGACTGAAACACAAGCACGAAAGTTTGTAAGTCTTTAACTGTACCTCTGGTGATACACTAATAATTTTTTTTAAATAAAAAAACTAAAGATGCTGATTTATATTAGAAGATCACATTTTATAAAAAAAAATTTATTTGTTTTTTCAGTTATCACTTGACTCTACACTCAATATCCCAGGTATTTGAGTACAGAATTTAAACTAAAATAATGTGATATAAGTGATTAAAACCTGTATTTTGTAATTTGTAGTTTCTTGTATGCAAGTTATCTATGAACTTTCAGGAAGTATTTCTCCTTTGCTCAGTGAGTTTTTAATCAACTAAAAAGATGTTAACCTTGCTTACTAAGCAGATCTTTTTTATTTTCAGCAAGTTACATATGTATTCTATAGTTTACTTCATAGATATGAGCATCACAAATCAAATGAAAATTCATGGAAACAATACTATGTCCATGGCAGCTGGCAAAGTCACATGTAAAGCACTGCAATATTAAAGTACTCTGGTCAGCTTGTGTTATAAATGCAAACCCATTTTATATTCCATGTTGATGGCACCTACTATTATTGCAGAAAATAAGAGAAGATTTTTTTTCTACACCATGAAGATAATGATAGGAATGCAGACTGACTCTAACTAAAACAAAATTGACTTCTTAAATTAGATCTTCAAAGAAAGAAGGAACTACTCCTTTGCAAAGCTGTTGTTATCACAAGATATTTGGAGGATGTTAAATGAAAGTGTTGTAGATATTCATTTGCTCTCAATAAATATTTACTGGGACACAGTGGATATGATAAATGGAGATGAACAGTTGTGTGTAGAAGAAACAAAGATTTATGTTTCTTATGTTTGTTTGAGAGAATAGATTATTATTATTTTTTTGCTTTTTGGGTCACACCCAGCGATGCTCAGCACTCAGGAACTATTCCTGGCGGTTCATGGGGGACCATATGGGATGTTGGAGATTGAACCCAGGTCAGCCACGTGCAAGACAAATGCCTTACACACTGTACTATTGCTCTTGCTCTGAGAATAGATCTGTTTTTGAGAAAGATGTATCTGTGTATTGGTTGCATGAGTCTGCTGGAATGGGAGCCAAATCTCCCAGAGAGAAGATTAAAGAAAGTACAAGCACAAGACAAGAGCTGAACAAAGAAATGAGGCCAAATGAAAAGCTGGGTGTGGGTTGCTAAGATATTTAGGAAGGACCTAATAACAGCCTGAATTTATGCTTGCCCTGTGATTCTTCTTTTGTCTCATACCCCTTCCTGTGTATAACAAGCACCATGCTGTATTGAAGTGTTGCAAGCACATCTCAGAGGGTGAGGTGATCCTAGTAGATTCTTCATTCTATCTCCAATACCTGAGCTTGTGTAAGATAATTGGGAAACTAATGAAAAGATGAATGATAATGAAGAGATAATGATAATCAACAGATGACAAAGATAAAATATAAAAATAATGAAGATATAATCATAATGAACGGATAATGAAGAGAGAGAAAGAAGAAAAGTGCCTGCCATAAAGGCAGGCTGGAGGGTGGTTGCGGGAGGGAAACTGGGGACTTTGAGGGTCGGAAATGTACACTGGTGAAGAAATGAGTGCTGGAACATTGTGTGACTGAACCCCAATCATGAACAACTTTGTAGCTATGTATCTCATAGTGAATCAATAAAAGATAAAAAAAAAATTTAAAAAAGAATACAAAGAAAATTGAGTCAAGGGTTCTAGATAGGTAAAAAATGTTGCTTAAAAAAGAATACAAAGCAAATTGAGTCAAGGGTTCTAGATAGGTAGAAAATGTTGCTTAAAAAAATTTTGGGACATACCAAAGGGAAGACAAGTATGCACAGAAAATATGTGGAGCTTAGATTTGGCACTGGGCTTACAGAAATTTCTGAATACCCATTTTCATCACCTAGACAGGCCATTGCATCTTCTTAGCCCCAGAAAAAGTTTCCTGAGCAGAAGCTGCCTCGATCATAGTCCTACTTTACCTGATAAATACCCCATCAGAGAGATAACTTCTTCATCCATTAGTCCTTATTTTGTTAAACTATGGGTTTTAAGCCCATCAAAGGTAAGGAAACTTTAAAAAAAAAACGAAGAAATTCTTTATTTTTATAAAATATTTAGTTTGTGTACCTTTAAAATACCTTTTTACATACCCTTTTAATTGCTCAGGAGTATGTAAAAATTTCTTGGGAACAAAAAATTCTTGAGCAGAAAAATTTTAAGATATTCTTTAGTCTGAGGACCAGGTCAGGGAGATATAGAGGCAAAGAAGATAATCAAGGAGTATCCATGTGCCTTGGTTTACTTGTGTAGAGGCGTATGTTAATGCAGGAAGAACAGTGGAATCAAAGAGATGTGCCCGAAGCTGGAGGTTCTTCGTCCTCTTAGCTATTTCTTTGACGCTCTTGAAGGCGTCCCAAACTGCTCTCTTCCTTCTGCACAACTCAGGTGCCCGGTCATTCGTCATGTTGATTTCCCGACGTAGGAACACATAACTGTTGCATTCGAAGATATTCATCCCGTTGAGAGTGAATGGAACGTCAGGAACGAGACCGTTTCTCATAAACATTGTCTTGGTGAGATTCAGCTGGAGTCCGACCTTTCCACACTCACTGTCCGAAATTGGCCAGCATTTGTGCTGCTTGGCTGATGCTTGGTGTTATTAGAACGATGTCATCAGCCAAGCGAAGGTGGTGTAGTTGCCGACCAACTATCTTCAATCCCATTCCTTCCCATTCCAGTCGTTGCATGATGTTCTCGAGGGTGGCACTGGAGAGCTTCGGTGAAATGGTATCACCCTGCTGAACCCCTTCCTTGACATCTATGATCACCTCCCTGTATAATGGTGAGATCCTGGTAGTGAATCCGCAGTACAGCTCATGGAGGATCCTGATGTATTGAGTTTGAATGCCCTATTTAGGTAGGGCTTCAATGACTGCTTCAGTCTCAACAAGATCAAAGGTCATGCAGGGACATTAGAATAATTGCAGAGCACTTCAGCATTTCAAAAGGAATAAAGGGTGACAAGAGGCCCAGAAAGTGGCAATGATGGTTTTGTTTATTGAGGATAAATTTTTGAAGTATAGAAGTGAAAGTCACTTCCAAGCAACAGAAGTATAGGTTCAGTGCTGAAACTAATCACCTTGATTTCACTTTAGGTTTGAGAAGGCTGTGTCCTGGGATTAGCTTTCTGAGAAGGACCAAGAAAGTTTTCCTCACCACAAACATGATTCACATCCCTTGTCTCACCTTAATAATGATAAACCTGAAGTATCAACCTTGTATGTGAAGGATTACACAATCATTTTATCATTTCAAAATACAAAGAAAGTAAAGAAACAAGTAGTATACTATAAAGAGAAAGTGCAGAGAGGTGACTTGTGGCCCATACAAGACACTGACTTGTGACAGAACTTTCTTCATAGAAAAGGCCCACCCCAACGCATACTGTTGAAGAGGTGAGAGAAAAGGGAAAGGAATTCTTCTGGGGCTAAAGGAAGCAAAAGTGTGTGCACTGATGTTCAGAATGGAGAGGACAGAGATGAAGCAAAACTCAATAATATGAAATTTGTAGAGGACTGGAAAAGGAAGAAGGGACAAATGAAAGATAGTCTTTTCCCCCTACTCCTTTGTTCCCTCCCTCCTCCTGCTTCACCATATTAGTTGGAATCTAATACTCCAATGCTTTTTAATTTCCTTCATTTTTCCTGAAGAACCCACAGGCTGTGTAATCTCTCTCAGGGGCTGTCAGTGGAGTAAGGGCAATGTCCTTTCTTATTGGGCATTATCTAAGTTAACAGTACCATATCAGTGAGAAAGGTGTGCGATCAGGTTTCGCTTTGACATCTGGTTTACATACCTGTACCAATAGCTGGGAGGCAAATGGAAGCATAATTCCGTTTTTCACACTCTTGCAAAACACAGGAAACTGAATCCTTTACTTTATTACTGCCAATTACATGAATAATGTTCTTACACTTCAGTAATCCACCTTTAGTAACAATATAATGATCATGGACCTGCTGAGCTGGAAATCACAGGGAAAATAAAGATGCAAAATTAGAACTGAATCCCATTGTTTGATGGTATAAAAACAAGAAGTTGAGTTTGGTAAGTCAAGCATTTATGGGAATGCAAGAATTATGGAATACTGTCTTTGATGAATCTTTTTGCTTTGATTATGAGGTTCTTTTTAATACTAATGTTTTATGCAATCATTTAAATATATGATTTTTAAAAATTTATTTTAATTTTCATTAATGAGACACCCTGAGGTACAGTTGTAGACTTACAAATTTTTGTGTTTGGGTTTCAATTTTACAATGATAAAGTACCCATCCCTCCATCAGTGTCCATTTTCCATCACCACTAACCCCAGTATCCCTCCCACCCCACATCCCCCCATCCCACCCTGTCTCTGTGGCAGGGCATTCCTTTTTGTTCTGGGAGTGTTGTGGTTTGCAAAAGAGGCATTGAGTGACAATCATGTTCGGTCTATAGCCTACCTTCAGCATGCATCTCCTATCATGGGAGGATCCTCCCAACACCCTTTATTTGGTGCACCCTTCTCTATATGAGATGCCTTTCCCCCTAGCATGTGCGGCTGGCTTCCGAGTCATGGAGTAAATTTCCTGGTACTTATCTCAGCTGTTATTGGGTATTAGTCTCCTATTTTGTTACTTTATGTTCCCCATATGAATGCAATCTTTCTATGTCTGTCCCTCTCTTTCTGACTCATTTCACTTAGCATGATACTTTCCAAGTAGGACCCTCCTTCACTGCTGGTGGTAATGCTAACTGGTTCTGTCAGTTTGGAAAACAGTATGGACAATTCTCAAAAAATTAGAAATTGAGCTCCCTTTTGACCCAGCAATACCACTCCTGAAAATATATCCAGAGAGGCAAAAAAAAGTATACTTGAAGTGACATGTGCACTTGTTTGTTCATTGCAGCACTGTTTACAAATGCCAGAATCTGGAAAAACCTGAGTGCCTGAGAACAGATGACTGGTTAAAGAAACTTTGGTACATCTACACAATGGAGTACTATGTAGCTGTTAGAAAAGATGAAGTCATGAAATTTACATAAATATATGATTTTTAAGATGAATATGCTTTCTCTGCATTCTAAATTCTTTTCTCAGCCTCATCCATCCTCCCAGATTCAGCCATGTGGCCCAAATTTAGTACCCTAAATAGCATTGCTTCTCACCTTTAAGCAAACATTCATCTTCCACTTCTTTCCCAGCCCCATTCAAAATTGCCTTGGACACTCCTGCATGATAAAATTAAGATGGTTAATAAATGATTTTAAAAGCACAGACAAAGTACTGGGTTTTGTGAATGGGACACTGGCAAGAGAAGCCCAGAAGTAATGAGTGGGCATAGTTCCACCTTTCAGACAATGGAGCAATGGAAAGCTGAGAAAATTCAATTATGTCAACAGAGGGTGACAAATGTCTAGGAAGTTCTCCAACTACTTTAGACAGTTTTAGTCTTCATGGAGAACATGTTAGAATGACAATCATATTGATGTCTATTCACTTGAAAAATATATTAACAGGGAATCAATGAATTTGAAGAGGCCCTAATGAAAAATGAAATAATTCATATGTATAGAAATAAAAGAGCTAAAGAATTTAGTGTCATATCTTAGAGGCAGAATGAATGAAACTGAAAATAAAATAAGTGACCTCAAAATATGGTATACAGCTCCATTGACAGAGAAGTATAGAAAATAGAATGAGAAAATAAAGAGAAAATAAAAATACAATTCTTCATTGAATGGTGGTTGTTGAAAATACTGAGAGAAAAAACCTCAGACTCAAATTACAGAAGGAAAGGAAAGAGAGAAAAGGGAATAATGGCTACTTGAAGAAGTAATAGGTGAGAACTTTTCCAACTTGTAGAGGGAGGTTGGAGCTTAGAGAACCAACTAAATTAAACCCAAACAAAGCAATACCAAAACATACTACATTCAAAATAGCAAAAGATAATGACAGAGAAAGATACATTAAAAGAACAGGAGGGAAGCAAAACCTAATATACAGGATTAAACGTAAAATTCACAGATTTCTCTAATGAAACTACAGGGAAGAAGAAAGTGGAATGATATACACAAAGAATTGAAAAAAGGACCTTCCAACCCAGAATATTCTATACTGCAAGTAGTGTAGAGTAGTGTAATTCAATCCTCAGAATTGAATTAAAAATGAAACATTCTTTTGAACAGCAAGTGAGGAAATTTGTGGTATCTAAACAAACCCTCTTTTAAGGTTATTGAATGGCTCCATAAAAAGAAAAAATTTGATGGCATAAACAACCAAACTCCTTGTAGATGCATGACAACAAATTAAACCATATAATTATTTCTCTAAATTCCAGTGTACTTAAATCTTCAATAAAAGGATGTCAAGTGGAGAGATGAATCAGAAATCAGAATCCAACATTCTGTTGATTATAAGATTATACTTGAATTGTTAAAATAAACACAGATTCAGAGAAAAAGACTGGGAAAAAAACATAAAAACTAATGATAAACTAAAAAAAAAGCAGGTACAGTTATAAATGTATCACACAAAATAGCATTCAAGGCCAAAGAAAATAATTAGAGATAAGGATGGATATCAAATAATAAAGAATCAGTAGATTGGGAGGAGGCTTGTCCAAATAAAGGAACAGCAAAGTTTATAAGGCAACTAGATAAGACACATCTATGGTAACACAATAGTAGTAGGAGATTTTAACAGTTTATTATTAATTTAATTTATTATTATATAAAAAGAATGTAGGGAAAAGTTCTAACATTTGAAAACAGAAAAAAACATGCTGCTAAATAACAATTGGATCAAAGAGAAAACAAAGAGAAAATTTAAAAGTTTTATAAAACTAAATGATAATAAAGACAAAAATTATTAGATCTCATAGAACTCAGCAAAGGTAGCACTAACAGGGAAGTTTATTGTAGTACATGTTTATAATGGGGGGGAAAAGCTTAAATTAAGGACCTCACAGCTTTAAAAACTAGAAAAGGACAATAAGTGAATTTCAAAGTAAGTAAAAGGAAGGAAATGATACAATTGTATTAAATAAAAAGACATCTAGAAAACAAAAATGGTCAATAAAACCATAAGCTGGTTGCATTTTTCCAATAAAAAAACAAAATTAACAAACTACTAGCTGTATTTATGAAGAAAAAAATAGAAAACCTTATTAAATTTGAAGACAGGAGAGAACTTAAAACAGACATCTCAAATATACAAAAGATCATACAAGGTTATTATGAACAACACTATAGAACTATGCTAGAGAAACCAAAATACAGGAATTAATTATTAGAATCATAATACCTCCTGAAATTTAATCAGAAAGAACTAGAAAACATTAGCAGGTCAATAAAAAGTAAGGAACTTGAAAGAGAAATTAAAAGTTTTCCCAAGGAAAAAAGTCCTGGTCCAGATGGGTTCACAGAGAATTGAATCAAAATTTCAAAGAATTACTCTTTATACTCCTCTAGCTCTTTCAAATTATCAAATAAACAGGTATCCTTTTTAATAGATTCTATGAAGTAAATATTATACTAATACCTAAATTATATAGAGATAATCAGTATAAAAATTATAGATTCATGCCCTGATGAACATTGATCAAAAAATCCTCAACAAAATCTTAGCAACAATAAATCAAAAGTACCATAGAATATGATTAAGTTGGAGATTCTTATGTCTGTAAGGATGATTCAATACATGCAAATCACCCTACCCCGCCCCAAGGGACCCAGCCCTGGCAACCGAAAACCTCTAGAACTCAACCGCTGCCATGCTCACAGTCGCTCTCCAAATGCTTGGGCTGAGCCTTACGCATGAGTGAATCCCCAGAAAACCTGGGTATGCACAATTTTGTGACTGAGAACTCTGGGTTCAATGGGACTGGTAATGGGGATCCTCCACCTGTGTCCTATCTCAGGCAACTCCCATAAGCCAGCTCTGGCTGATGCCAGATAGTGTCATCATCGGCCACCATCCAGAGTCACAGGTCCTTCTTTCACAGAAGGGAGCATAACATGGCACTAGCCATAACCATGCCACTGGACCCCATACCAGGCTGTTCCATTCAGGGCTTTCCAGAGGGAGAGTGGGTGAGACCCCTCCCTGCCCCAAAGACCCAGCCCCTGTAGCTGGAACCTCCAGAACTCAATTGCTGCCATGCTCATGGCCACTCTCCACATGCTTGGGCCAAGCCTCATCCACGAGTGAACCTATTACTGGACTGCATGGCCTCTACATTTCATACCACACACCACCCATAATACAAGAGTACTGCACCACATTTGATGGGGTTCAAACTTGGAGGCAACCAGTCTTATTTTTTACATATAACACACACACACACACACACGACTCAACCTCTAACAACATGTTAGTAGCCCTGCACGAGAGGCTCTCAAGCATGGCCATGGCTCCAGAAGCATAAGGGCTTAATGCAGAACCCGACAGCTTGTGGCAGAAAAGTGAATGGACTATGCTTTAATCCATACCACCATGCCTGCCCGGAAGGGAAAAAGTGTTGCTCCCTTCTGCCTTTTTCCTTCTGGACAGCAAGGTGGCGGCCGCCTTGGAGCTTTTTGGAAAGCCAGGTATGAGCCTGTCGCAACAGAGCAACTGAAACTTCATGGGAAGGGGGGCGTTCCCGGCTCGTCCTTCACGCCCTACCAAGGTAACAAGTTGCCCCCCATGAGAGGCTCTCTGGCACGGCCATGGCTTCAGAAGCACAAGGACTTAATGTAGAGCCTGACAGCTTGTGGCAGAAAAGTGAATTGACTATGTGTTAATCCAAGCCACCATGCCTGCCCAGAAGGGAAAAGGTGTTGCTCCCTTCCACCTTTTTCCTTCTGGACAGCAAGATGGCAGCCTCCTCAGAGGTTTTTGGAAAGCCAGGTATGAGCAGGTCACGATGGGGTGACTGAAACCTCAAGGGAAGGGGGGCGTTCCCAGCTAGTCCTTCATCCCCTACCAAGGTCACGAGTTTCCCCCCATGAACGGCTCTCCAGCACGGCCATGGCTCTAGCGCCACAGAAACCAATCTTATAATTATCTGACTCTTGGCTGAAATACTTCCAGGCTTAATAAATAAAATATCAGAAATCCAAAATCGCACAGCCACTATCTCGGACGTGGGATATCATTTGGTTTTTACAACCAGCTGTAGAAAACAAATTATTTCACAATGCCTTTTCAGCAGGTCTGATTTTGAGGTGTAAACTCTAAATAATAACGGTGCATCTTTTGTCGAAACAATGAATCTAATCAAAGTTGATAGAGTGTTAACTAGAATTCATCTGCCTCACAGGCATTTGGAGGGGTGGGAGGAGGGGTATATGGGGTTCTTGGTGGTGAAAAATGAGTACTGGTGAAGAGAAATGTGTTTGATGATTGCATGATCAAGACTTAAACCTGAAAGCTTTGTAACTTTTCCCACAGTGATTCAATAAATAATCATTAATTAAAAAAATGTTAGTGATCTTACTGGTCCCTGGGTCAAATACAACCATCTTCACACTCTTTCTCCAAATAAACCCTTTTGTAGCATTTTCAGTGGTTTTTCATAACAAACAATATAAAATATATTATTTCAGTTCTGCTTTGGGGCAAGGGTTGGAGTTCAGATGGAAACATCCAAAATATGGTGGTGGGAAGGTGTAATGGTGGTGGGATTGGTGTTTGAATATTAAATGTAACCGAATACTGTGAACTACTTTATAAAATAAAAAAATGCAAATAAATTAATGTGATGCACCATATGAAAAGAAAAGATCAAGATCATATAATCATAAAAATATATTCAGAGAAATATTTAGGCAAAATTCAACCTCCATAACTTAACATACATAGTGAAAAAAAACCTCAACAAAATATGGATATTAGGGACATACCCCAAGCTAGTAATGGCCCTGTAAAATAAAACAGCAAACAACATCATACTCAATGTTGAAATGCTGTAAACTTTCTCTCTGTTGTCAAGCATCAGGCAAGGATCAAACTCAGCAAGGAAACAATGGCTTTGAAGGAAGAAATAGAAGAGAGAGGACTAATAGATCTATGCAGGGCTTTAAATCTCTCCCCCCTCCAAAAAAGAATAGAAAGTGAGGCCCCAAAGCAGGCTCTGCAGCAGCCATGACAAGATGCAGTTAACATTAAGTTCCAACTAGGCCTCAGATTCTGTTTCCCCAAAGCAGGACTTGCAGTTTATGGTAAACTCCCAATTGAGTAATTCACT